ATTTCGCCTCCAATTGTTCTAATATTTCGTTATAGGTGCGCGGTGTGCGCTGCCTCCCAACCGTTATCCAGTTTCTTACACCGTTTCTTAACAGGATCTCAACTAAGAAATCCATCTCAGCCATTTGGATTCAAATCACACCTTCAAATCATCCCTTGTTCTGAATGTAGTATTTACGTCATGCTATAGAAATGCAGCCGATCGAGAATAGCTATGTATACCTTGGCGGCCGTTGCAAATACCGCGGTCGGTTGAACAGTGGTTTCTAGTAATGTTACCAGGAAGTCCTCACCGGTTCCAATTTCCCGCCGAAAACAAGATGCCTAGTGCGACGGTTCCCTAACTTCCTTTTCACTTTCTTTTTGTTTTTTGTTTTTGTTTGTTTGTTTGTTTTTTGTTTTTTTTTGGGGGGGGGGGGGGGGGGGTACGGCTACACGCAGATTAGGGTTTGTTATATCGAAAACCTCGATTTGACGAATTTGCGGAAAAACAACCAAAATGTTCGTTAAATCGAGGGATGGTTAAATTTTTTTTTCGGTGGTGTGACGTCGGGCATTTCGGGATCGGAACGATTACTGTAATTAACATTTGTGCGTTAATATCTACATGAAGCTACAGTACGCTGTACAGGTCTGTACATAGCTACAGCACCTTGTTTTAAAAGCACGGAGGACAAATTTCAGTGGAAGTCACTGGCAAACAGAGAAACAAGGGTATTAAAGAGGTAATTCCTGCCTTTTACAAGTTTAACTACAAGAAGCCTTATTGTAACTAATAAGAGACAGAGAGGATAAAGCGGATCTGTAGATGTGTCAATAGTGTCAGTGTCGGCATTCGTGGGATTTATGATAATCACAAATCTCGTTGTTTTGTCATTGCGTTACTGGCTATCTTAGAATTTTCTATTATACTGACGCAAATGTACGTAACGGCCATTAAGTAATAATATATACCATCCGACATACTTAGTGGCTTCAAGAAATTCTCGTATCTGTATACGAACGAAATTACGAACTGCGCCGTTACCTTACCGCCGTCGGCATTTATAATGAGCTGTTAACTGTGACGTCCTATTGTTATAGAATTAAAGGATTTTGATTCTTGTTGGTCTGTTTTGCATTTGTCTTTTGTCACGTGTTGACATTTGTTCATTATATCGGGGTATATTATACGTTTGGGCTTCTGGATTGTTTTCGTTCTACAAGGATTTCCTTATATCGAGGTTCTTTCCTATACATTTTACTGTAACTTTGGTCGGGCTGAAGACTATCGTTCGTTATATCGAGGACTTCGTTGTATCGAAGTTCGTTAAATCGAGGTTCCACTGCGCTTTAAGTTGCATCAGGCCTCGGAGACCAGTGGAATTCTGGTTGCATGGTTCTTCTGGCTCATACTAAATTTAACTGAGTGTAATTTTCAGGGGAGAGGGATATGTCTGATGGTATGAGCACATCCTCTCACTTTTACTTTACTTCCTTTTTTTTGAAGTGAAGTTGCAATTAATTTTTTCACAAAACAACCAAACTCCCACACAATAAATTATCTTGAAGACACTTTGTTTACATATATTGAAGTAGCTGAATTTTATCTTCCTTACACATAAAAATTAGAATAACAATGATACAGCAACTGTCCATTTTTTAATAATCTACTTTATAAGTATTGCTTGTTTACTGTGCAGGAATACCAGCTTCAGTTTTTGTTCTTTTAGTCTTGGAAATTTAATAGAATAAACCATTGAACTTTTTTTGCAATAAGTAAATCAACAGAAAAGTAAAATAACATCGGCTTCGTTGACATCTTTCAATGGTTTCTCCCAAAGATAAGATTATAATGGAAAAGTACCTTTGTTATTCAAATTCTAACTAAACATATGGAAGTAAAAGATGATTGTTTAATTTTGTTTACTACAGTTTTGAATATTTAATTCCAAGGATAACGGCCGCCTGATAGTATTAACGAACTTGGAGGATTAGTTAACAACAAACTGAACTGTTAAATCGTGAAAAATGAAAAATAGTTATACATCTGAGTTTTAAGGAAGATTATGCTGAATGGAGATGTGCAATATATATCACAGCCACAGTAATTATTTACCGTGGCTACAAACTGATGACTGGGTTGAATTTTATTTTGTGTCTTTTGAAATGTTTACATGTTCAACTTTCTTAAAATTATTTTCTATGGCACCATGTAGGTATCTGACTATTTTAATTCTGGTCTTATAGACTTAATTATTATTTAGCCCAAATAAGTAAATTTAAAAAAGCGTTAGGGATGTATAAATTACCTAAAGTGAATTTAAAATGAGACAACCTCTACGTTTATTACTTGCGCAGCTTTAAACATCTGTGTGGGCTTTTTTTATCAACTGATTTGAGAATAGAATGATTTTTGCGTTGGCAAATTTGGCGACGTTATATAAGCATGCATCCCTCAATAGTAGGCCGGGAGACAATCGCATGATATTTTTAGCAGCAAACAGAAGTCCACTTTTATGAAATACGGTGGACTAATCAGGTTCTTTTTCTTTTGTCTAAATAACCAAGGAATTTTCGTTTTGTAATTGTATATTTATATGGTTTTGACTTAGGTTGACTTCAGCATTTTTAGAAATAAACCGGTCACTTGACCTGAAATTGGTTGTTAACAGGGAAAGATCCTTTAAGAGAACCTCTTGACTATACCTTTAGACCCCTACTCTCGTCAACTGTTATTTCCAAGTATTCTTTCGCCCCCCCCCCCCCCCCCCGCCCTCTATCAAATAAAATGATTGCTATTCAGCCAAAAAATTCACGGTTTTTTAGAGTCCAATTTTCCCTCGGAAAGTTCTGATTAGAATTCTCAAGTCTCGGCTGCTTATGGCAGAGCTTCTCTCACTTTCTTTGTGTCTTTGTAGTATGTCCGCGCGTCCTCTCATGACTGAGACGGTCCTGTTTTGCAGATAACACTGTGGCATTTTGGGAAAGATTCACAATTTACTAATATTCCTAATGAGTAAGGAGTAAAGAACAACTCGGAGAGCCTTGACACCAGTCAAACTAGGAGCAAAATAACCAGCTGAGACAAACAGTTCCCTCTAAAGTTTCTCGTTCACTTTCCTTGCGTTCCGCTGAACACAAACATAGGCGCATGCGTACACTTAAATGAATTTTTATTGATGAGTCAATTGTCAACAAGCCTGATTTCGATATGAAATGTCCTGTTAAGCTGATCAAAAATGAGAAAGTTGGGCAAACAATAATAACTGAATTCTGCGTCAAGTTCTTCGTTAGGAGAGGAAGTGCAACAAAATATGTGAATATTTCAGTGACATCTTCCACGGCCTCCCAAAGTCTTCACGCAAATAAAAAAAGAAAATTGACGATTCTCAATCAGCTTTTTATTTATTTAGCAGGTACTTTTAACTTAGTGATTTTAAATTTTATTAAAATTTCGCGGGTACTTAATTTTGCGATTCTGAGGAGATAATATTTGACGGGGTTTTATTTTCGCGATTTCGAAAGGCAAATATTTAAAAGGGACATTGAATTTCACGACTCAAGCGCTCTCAATTTCATTTAAATTTTCAATCTGTCAATTTTTGACGGCCGCACGAGATATATCCTAAGGAATTTGTACGAATTAAGAGAGCGATAAAGATGAAGATGAGAGCTGGATTCTCTGCACCATATGCTAAATCCTTGCAAATGAACGTCATTTCACAATGGAAGATAAAAAATAGAAGTTACCAGTACATAAGACCAGTTAATGATTTGTGTATTTGTTAACACATATCCTCTAGATTTTGTTGTTATTAAATGTTGATCACTTTTTTCTGTGATTTGAATTTTTTATAGGGAAATAATTAAATTGCGAGCGTTTAGATTCCGCGCGGGTTTTTATGCGCAGATCTTAAATTATGACAAATGGTGCTCGGGTGCTTATTTTCTTCAATATGGATTTAGATGATGTAGCCTAATAACAATTTTCAGCAAATTTACTGGGACAAAAGGACTAATAAACAGGGGTTAAAATACAGACGAGCACGTGAATACACAGAGGCACAAAAGAATAATATATAACATTGTTAACATGCTTTTTCATTGTGTTATCTTTGAATTCGCTCTCGTCAAGGTTAAAACGTTTTTTGTCGTCATTAAGGTCACTTAGTTCGTTCCCTTTTTTTTCTCGTCAACTTTATTTATTTATTTAATCATTATTTATACACGGTAAAAAATTTCAATACAATGACTAATGTCCTAAGAACCTAAAAGTCCTAATCCTAACATCATATTAACTTACAACAATGAGCCACTTAAAAACCTGATTTCCATGAATGCCGTGTTTAAAAACTATGATAGGGAAGGGGTTTAAATTAGTTTAATGAACCAGACTCTGTATAATGTTACAGGGTAAACTATTCCAAAGGGTTGCACCGCTATAACTAAAACTATTTTTCATGTTGTAAGTTCTGAGAAAGAGGACAACAAGTTTGTTTACCGAGCCTGTTTTTAATATAATATTACTGTTTCTTTAATATAACTTACAATTATATTACAGGTTAGTCTTGCATGTGAACAATGCTTAACTTAAAGACACCGAGTCTTGCAATCGATTTTCAGTTTACAAAGTTGAAGGTATAAATGTTTTGATTCACGAGTACTATGAAGTATTGGCGGGTGTTAAAACTTCCTTTCCAAAATAAGAATGAGACATTTGAAATGCTAATTATTAAACAAAGAGGAAATGACTAGATGGGCTAGAGTCTGACTTCATTTTGTGAAAGATTTTCTCCTCTGAAAAAATGACTTACGTTATTATTTTGCCACAACTAGTGCGAACACTGTTTTTGTTTTTATCTTTTTTTTCCAGTTCAGATTTGTTAAGCACATTGAGAAACTCTTCTTCAGAGGCTACCTGAGATAAATATATGTCGAGCCTCCACTTTAGCAACTTACGTATAACCCCACCAGCTTGAAACATCTGTTAGGGTTTTATTGATGTATACGTGAATAAAATATTTGTTGTGTTGGTAAATGCGACTGCAGCATAAAACAATCTAGCGGAGAAATGAAACAAACACTATTCAGGTAATCTCGTAGCTTTTTTGTGTTATAACTGGTGATCAAATTAATTTAAGTAGAGTCTTATGCTACACTGCCGGAGAAAAATATAAGGAAAATCAAGAGGATAAGAGAACATAACGCTTTGTGTCGTTATATGAGTAACTGACTTCTTAATAAAGTTGTGACGACGACGAATTTTTATTTTATTTGCCGACGCAACGTTTTCATAAATAACACTGTATGGAATATTACTAGAATTGGGGTAGGTGTGACACAATGATAAAATAGCAGTCAATGGAAATATGCCGGATGTTGCTATAAGTCTCTTAATAACAAGAAATGTTTGGAAACAGCGTTAAACATTTGAATTGAACAATTTTAATAGCGGGAATATTAACTAACCTGCACGTTCCATTTTAAGTCAAATAAAATAGTAAAATAGTGCAAACATTCACCGTATGATATAGCCACAGTGGCCGGGAGAACGCTTAGTCGTTAAGGCATAAATATTCTGGTCCAATCACGCGACAAAGGAAATAAGGTCGAAGCCGATGATGATACTGAATCGCAACGTATACAACGTATAGATATGCTGAGGTGCCGACTCGAGGCTTACAGATAAGATAGATTTGAATTTATTTTAACAACCATTTGCTTTTCTTTCTAGGAAAGATGTCTAACATGTGGACTTTCATTTTTGTTTTGGGTAAGTCGGCTGCGCTCGTTTAAGACGTGTAGTTTTCATGAGCGAGCATGAGACACACTATAGTAGTTTTGGTTGTGAGAAAATTTACGATAAAGTTTTAATGCAAAGATTATTCTGATTTGCCGAGGGTAAGCTTGGATCAATTCTATCGGCAGAATGGTAAAAAATAAGCAGTGTTGGAGGCGAGTATTCTGTCAGAAAGTTCACGTAAAAATATGGGCAGAACTAAGGGAAATCAGTAACATTATTTATACGCAGAACAGTTGTAGGAAGGTTCAGTGAAATTCATTGGCTCTAAATACAAATCTTATATTGTATACCTTGATAATTTCTCGTTTTTTTACGGTCTTGATGCCTTTTAGCAGCTTCTCTATTTTGATTATTACGACTCAGCAAAGAAATGATATTGTGCTGAGTTTGAGGAATATATATGCTCCATAAATTAGTTATAACTAGCGTCACACGTTAGGCCAAGGTTACCATCCATATTTGTGAAAATACGTACAATCCGAAGGAACGATTTTGTTTTGGCCACCGAGGATAATTAAGAGCGTAATTTAAGAGCCTTGGTAAAATTTAGAGCAAACTATGCAATTTTACCGATGAGCATTGCAGTCTGGCAGTTTAAACTATTACGCGAACGCAAACTATCCAAGCCTAACCAAGGGCCATTGATAATAGTTCTTTACAAGAACATCGTTATTTGCGCGAAGATTATGTGTGCAATCCATGCTTACCACATAGACGACCAGGGACATTTGACTCTTGTGGCACAGCATGTCTGATCAGTTGTTAATTACTGACGTAGGAGTTTGACATGCTCACTGATTTATTAAGAATAAATACTTCTCATATAACAGGTTTACCAGAAAAATACAGGGAAAATTTTCCTATGAAGTTAATCTCAGAGTCTATCATGAGTTTGCATTATCGTTTACGCACACGATAACGGAAGCAAGTAGACAGTCATTAATGAGCTAACTGTTCAAAGTATGTATGCTTATTCCTCTGTGAAATTATGTTCTTTGTCACAGTTGCAATAATCGCGGAAGTATACTCCCGATATATCCCAGACTTTGACACAACCCACCGTCTTCAAGTAGAAAAAGGGAAATATGTGGAAATAGAATTGGGGTTTTATTTGCCCCTTGACTTACCTGGAGCACCTTGTGCCGATGAGGAATATCTTGAGATCCGTGATGGGTATAATCAGTCTGGAAATCTTTTGGGTGTATTTTGTGGAAGATACGTTCCTCGCTTTAAACTACGTTCCAGTGGACAGAACATGTGGTTAAGATTTTCACCTCACCGTAGATACCGGCTATGGCCCAGATATTATGAGGGAAAAGCACTAAATGCAACATGTAAGTATTCTTGGGTTTTAATGTTTTGATTTACTTATTGGCTTATTGGTATAATTTATTGTGGATGATATGTCTTATTATGTTTGTGCTTAGATCCCACCAACCTGAAAAACGTCGCAAAGACTCAGTTTGTCCTGCTCAATCATTTGTCATCGTTGTGGTGCCCGGCGGAAGGTGGACCAGCTCCTCGCATTGTTTGGAGAAAGAATGGCGCTGTTGTGCAAAACAGCACTAGTGTGCGACTTCAAATCAACGTCACTGAAGAAGAAGGAAATACAAATTACAGCTGCGAAGTGGACGACCAGGAGCCGAAAAACATCAGTCTTGTTGTCGAGAGTAAGTCTCAAGTTACATCTTTACTTCAAGGGGATCTCAGTTGTTGTGTATGCTTTTGGTAAACCTTACTCTTTGTCTTATGTCGATTTTGGGAACTTTTGGTTTTAGAATAAAACCTTCTACAATTTTATTCAAAGGTAACCTGAAAAGTCACATTTATGAAGTAAAACATAAAACAACTAAGTGTCTTTTTTTAATTATTAAAAGATTAGTTTTCATGCTTTTGCTTTTAAAAAAATTATTAATTGACTCGATTGACCGCTGCCCAAGAAAAAGTGCCATCAAAAACTGTGCTGTTCAAACTATTGAATAATCGCAAAATCGTTCAGAATGGATAAATAAACAACTAGCAAAAGTCGCAAGTGACGTTAGTGCGGTTTTCCCCTGAGCTCAAATTGCTAACCTAAAGGCATTTTCCATTACCGCGACCGCGCAAGAGGCTATGCACGCAATAAAATCAGTGTATAGAAAAGAATTTTTGCAATTTTCAATTTTTGGAGGCGGTCGCATCAAACTAGTATCCTTTGATCAAAACTTCATTGATTGACACATTCGTTAATCACGAACCCATCTCCCTCTACGAAAGGATAAAGAAAAAATTCTCGCTCGAATTACTGGGCAAGAATGGATCGTCATCGAATGATTATCTTCGCAGCTTTCTTTCTCTGCAAAACAACGTTGCGTTTTTTATCTTGGTGGTACATTATCAGCGGGCTTCTATGCGGCTAGTATCAGCTCTTAGACGTAGAAGACGAAGACTTCTATTAAATAGAGCTCGCTTCCAAAACCGTCCTTAGTCGAGGTCTCCGCGTACGGTGGAGTCATGGTTCGAGCTTGGGACCATGTATCGTATTTCGCTTTCTTTTTTCCTGTCGATCTTTTTGGTTGCAGCTTGCACCACTTGTGCTGGCTTCGATGATTCCATTGAAAGGGGAATTAAAGCCGATTGTTCTCCAGATTGCCGCCAGTGACCGGGCCCAGGGTACGAGTCAGACATTCAAATAAAAACGTCGCTCAATTTCCTCGTTTCCTTCAAACGAAAACTGAGGGTCAGATGTCCTGCCATCGCGCGCGCCAGACTACACCAGCGGACCACAGTGTATTTTTCCCGCTTAAATTTTATCTAGACATGTCTTGCGTACGATGACAGCTAAATGGTTTTAAAAAAAGATTGTCCGGCGTGCTAAAAATTGGAAGCCTGCGAGGCAGGACATCGGCTTCTTTGAAGATTGGCGAAATTTTGGCGATCCGCAAAAAGTTGGCAAGGTTTTAAAATTGGGGGTAGCACTTATTTTACACTACTTGTTGAAAGATTTTTCGCTTAAACAAACAAAAAAGCTCTAATGCGACCCTGGCCGTAGTAGGCTCGGTCTATTTGAATCTAAGTCGTAAACATGAAAAAATTTAACAAAATTTACACTGGACTGACTTTGCTACTCTCCTTATCTTCGAACAGATCAAACGGAAAATACCAAAGAACAACAAATCCCAATAATTAAGTATTTTAGATCATTTTCATACATGGCGGATAAAAATCATGTTCGTGATTATAATGAGCTGTTTTGCACCAACGGCTGAATAGAAATAAAAAATGTGATGTGAAATATGTCTTCATTTCGATGAGAGAGCATTTTAGTTTTGGATGGTTTTGAACAATGCTTAGCTAAACGGATGGTATACTTTGTAACGTGCCATCATCAATTTGATTCGAACAAACAGATATGATTCAAATATCAATTTTTAATGGAAGCCTGTTTTTGTTTGTCAGAGTGCCCTCAACAGTGCCAATGCAAAGTCCTTAAAGGTAACATGAAGAACTTAGTATCGGCCGACTGTGGAACGAAACAGCTTAAGTCAATTCCAGAGAAAATTCCCCGAGCTACAGGAAAACTGTAAGTTCTTAATACATCATATAAGTTTAGGTAACGACATGATTTCGAGTGCAATTTGATGTTAATAAATACTAAAAATTTTCAAAGACAACAAAATTGCACGAGTCCGTCTTTGACAGATTTACAATTGCGCTTATTTACACCAAATTGCACTCGAAATCATGTCGTTACTTGTTAGTCTTGTTAATGCTTACATATGAAAAACTCACCACAGAAGTACGTCAAGAAGGACGAAATTTTGGCAGCGCCAATAAGAATTTATATGAAAAATGCAATCGTTTTCAGCCAATCAGACATGCGTAATTTTTTCATGTAAACGATTAAGCCTCAAATTTGGCCTTTGTTCGAATTTGGAAGTGGCACAATGATTGCCTAAAGTACGAGAAGGTTATACTAAAGACAAAATAATTTTATGGTCGTTTGTAATTTTATAAGAAATTTCATAAGAAATAACAAGAATTACATTCCATAACTGTTGAACCAGATGCGTCGGGTGATTTTCCCTTTCTATCTGCATTCAGAGTGTTGAAATGAAAGAAGAGCCAACTGATTTACCTTAGAATGTAAAAAAAACCAGTGAAAGCATATTCAATGTATTTGAAAATGTTGTACAGGTTAATTTCAGTCAGATTTACGCAGGAGTTTGAGATATTGACTTTGTTTTACTTTCGATCAAGAGTTTCTCTACCGGTTTCTTTTTTTGAACACTCATTCGGTAAAAACAGATGATGGTTTTTCTGCTAGCTGCTGATTATCCTTTCACAATTTGAGTTAAAACTGACTTTCTTTTTTGTTGCAGCACGCTCTCAAACAACAAATTGAAGCACTTGCCGAAGGAAGTTTTCAGCAGAAATTCTAATCTGATAAAACTGTAAGTCATATTGACTTTGTCAACTTCTTTTGTATTTTGATGTATTGAAGATTAACGGATGGAAAATAATGTTTCATTCAGTGAGGTTCTTCGGGTGCGTTTCGCAAATCAAATTGCATGAATTTCGCAAATTAGCTAAATTCATGCATTTTGATTTACAAAATTCACTTTAAAAATTATTATGTCCGCTATTCCACGTAAAGATCCACACATTGAGCTTGATCATGAAAATATTAAGTTAGACCTTACAGCCCACCTGCAAATGTTAAGTTGGTGAAAGGACAACAAAAACAACAACACCAGCAACTACAACCTGACAAAGAAAACCCGTTGAATCTAGTAACGAAATCAGTGTCAATCTATCATTTCTCTTGGACATAACCGAAGTATTTCCAGAGATAACCTCCATGTGATATGTAATTTCTGAGTGATGAGTAAACTTTGATAAGGTATCTATGTCGGACCATCAATATCAGAGTATTTATTCTTTTGCTCGATTCGAACGTAGAACATAAACACTGACGGGCGAAATGACCCTCACATGGGAAATAGATCATCCATGATAAACTTGGAAAAAATTCGTCCATCTTTACTATATTTTTAAAGCTCTCTTCCGGCTCTGTAAAACTTTTAGGTAAAAAAAACTTAATGTCTTAAGTAAAGCAGCTTGGAAAGTTACACGGCGAGATAAGTAAAAGAAAACGATATTGAGATCAGCTGAAAATTTGGACTTCAGTAAATTTCTTAAGTTCATTATTTCATATCGTACTCAAAGAACACTTACCATTGCAGTGTAAAAATACTCGAACTAAACAGAGAATCGTCGATATATCTTAGATCAGCTTTATACAAAGTGCTCTGCATGAGAAGCATATCAGTTTATTGCTAAGAGCCAAGTAGTAGATCGGACCCAGTTTAAGCCTTCGGAGCTAACCTCTATATTCATGGGAAAGAAGTCACTTAATGCTGTTACACAAAGTGAGACAGAATTACTTCTGAGCGCAGCATTGAAATTACTATAAGAATATAAACACTTGCTTCTGATCCTTGCTGTGGAGGAAAAATTGATGTTACATGTATTTACTATCCTCTAAGATAGCCAAAAAACATTTCGGGTGTTTCCGTGAGCATCATTACCATTGCATATTTATTTATTTTTTATTTGCTGGTTTTGGTAAACAGCAAAAGCGTTGGTCAAATTAAGCTCTGGTATTTTCGAAAATTATCTTTAGTATATAATTAATCATTTCAAGTGTACACGCTCCCTTTGATCGAGGCCAAGTGAAAGAAAATCGTTTTTGGTTAGCTCATTACGAAAACCCATGGCCGTTACGGAGGCTTTAAGAAAATTTCCTAATTTTTATAAACCCAAGATTTAATGAGGTGGGACATTTTATCTCCGTGCCGCAGAAATTCACCATTTTAACTATGCGGTATTTAAAAAACAACCTTAAGTTTAACTGTATGAGCTTGTCACTCAAAAGCGAGTTTATTGATCACACCTTTTCTTCATGCTAAACTGCATTCAGTACATAAAGAGGTAGGTTTGTTTAAGTCTTTGAAAACAAAAAAGCTTGTAAGGTAGTCTCAGTGCTATCATAGCTTTTCGATAATTTATGGTGGGTCCAAATTTATTCCACTGATATTTTTAAAAGTTTCTAAGAGCTAAGTCATGATAAGCTGAATGGTACTGAATAATCAAATCTTGGGTTCACCGAACTCGTTTTTGGGGGACATACACGGAAAGCTAAAACTGGATGACACTGAAGTAGACTGAAGTGTTGCTATGGTAATCGTTTGAGCCAAAAAAAACTGGTCAAAACTTGTTAAGCAATTGTTCGCCACGGATATTCCTTGTGGATGTGGAATTGGTTAAAACGTTCAAACCGAATTGTTGGAGGAGGTTTACTGATCTATTAGTCGATAAAAGTTATCTTGTTTAAATGGTCACTGCTTGATCGAAAAGTTGAATGGCATAAGGATAATCCTGATGAATGTACATTTCATCAGATCTTTTCAGCCATTAGATCGGCAAATGGTTTGAAGTTAAAGGAAAAACTCATAGCTGATTCATTTGTACGTGAAGCTCAAATTAACAAGCACCATACGGACAGTGCGAGTCTCTTATATATTTGAAAGCTAGGCAATTCAGGTTACCAGTGGAGTAAATAAAATAACTAGGTAATTTGGTATAATAAACTGATTTGATAACGTAAATTGGTCACCGTATATAGTTTCAAAGCTAACGTTTCAAGCGTTAGCCCTTCGTCAGACCAAATCGCTAATTTACGTTATCGAATTGGAGGAAAATAGTTTTTCATTAAAGTACTCTTGTCCCTTGATCTCTAATTTCGTTTCCATGAAGGTACACGCATGAACAAGTAATTAAGATAATTGATTCAAATCCTTACCCCTCTTAAATGTTGTCTATGCTCCTCCTCATAAAAAAAACTCGCCAAAGTCAAATTTCCGCTCTCTCCAGCACGTCAGCAACCCAATCATGTTTCTTGGGATTAGCTTGAGGAAGATTTTAGTTTTTCGATTTTTTCTAGATTAAACTCTATTTTTCATATCTTGATGTTGCTTATCAAATGGATGACACATGGGAGGGAGTTATGAAAGTTCAATATTCGCGCCGGCGTCCATCGGGCAAAATAAGTTTTTCGATCCACTATGCGCTTGAAAAACATTCTCTTTCGCACAGCTGACGCTCGAACTTAGCTTCAAAATAACCTCTTACTGCGGCTCCATCATCGTCCAAAGTTCAAACATTTTTTTTAATGAGCCAAATGTTTTTCCACTCATTCCTCGTCTTTTTATTATCACGCTCTTTTAAACTGTTTACGCATGCGCCACTCGATAAACTCTGTCTGCGACTTCATCGACATTTTTTACCCATTGCGTATCTTTACGATCACACCTTATTTGTACAATTATCTCTCGTACTGCCCATGAAATTCCTTCTGAGACTTCTTTGAGCCCAAAACGGCTTTGTAAACAATCAAACTCACAAATATTGGCGCTTTGGTTGCATGTTTTTGTTTACAACTTCATAAACGGTATTTAATATACAAAAACTTCCGCACCGTTTTCGATTGACCCAAAATGATGTTTCAATCTATTTCGCGTCCTTTTTAAAATGACGCTTTCATGCACTGACGTTGCGCAAGCTATATAAGAAACCCTCTTTAACATTATCAACATTCGAAGTTCAAAAACTGGGCGAGCCAAAAAATTTTACGACTCGTTCCTTGTCTTTTTGAAAACCACACTTTTTGCGCTTATGTCTCCCGTACAAGAGATTACAATTTTTTTTGCTCCCTTACCAGCCATAAAACTACCTCTGCTGCCTAAGAGCTGTGTTCATATGTTTATTTTTTTTTCGGAAAGTTAAAGTAGACGATAAAGAAAGTGATACATCCTAAACTTTGAAAACAGCGCGACGCTTTTCTAGTGGCAATTAATCACCTCTCTCTCCCCATACCACGTTGTTTTTGTCTTCCAATCTCTTATCGCGTAAATACCCAAGGATCCTAAACTTAGGCAAAATTTGTTGCACAGAACAATATCGCCTGACGTGGTCACCTACAGGTGCATTTTCGACCATGCGATTGAATGGTCCTTAAGGAAAACGAGCAATAAGCAGTAGTACTTTAAGCGGTCAGAACGGCAACTCAGAGGAAGCCGTTCAAAAATGAATTTATTCATATTCGACTTTAACATTAGCCAGTTTGCGTTTTGAACATACGACCAGCGAGTTTAAAAGGATTCTAACAAAGGGCGATCTAAAAATATCTGCTTTATTTCTTTAAATTCGAGCGTTTTAATTTTCGTCAGGCAATGAGTCTGATTAAAGTATTTGCCTTCGTTAAAAAAGAACAGCTTCCCTGAGCTTCCCTCTATGATGGGGGTGTTACTAAACAGAGTAACGGGGCAAGGAGTAGCGGAGCAACAAGAAAACGAGTAACAGAACTGTGTTCTTGTATATTAAGTGATTTCGGAGCAATCTGAGACAGAAAATACCTCGGGATTTACTTTAGTTTTTCCAATCGCTCCTCATCTTTAGCACGCGAATTTTATAACGTCGGTTAAAAAAAATGAACTCACATTTTACCTACGATTTTCACAATACTCTAAAATAATTTAGTTTGTTTCTTTTTGTCAAAACTATCTCGAAACTGAATATGGAACACAGCGTTAAATTAGTGATAGAAATTTAAAAAATAAGCCGTTGTCGTTAAAGTTCTCCAGACAACGCAGAGTTTGGATATTTCACGTTGTTGTTTTGCAGAGGACGAAAAGAAATTTTCAAAGGTTTATAGCGGACGTACACAGCCATTTTTCTGCTCATTAAACGTTTCGTTGAGTGAAATTGCCATTACCGTTTCCGTCGTGATTTTCTTAAACTCCCTATTATCCCGGAACACAACACTGTTTCTCACAAACCCACGGAGCGGCAATTACCACAGCTGTTGCCAATGTATTCTTCATGACAAAAATGGAAAAAAAAAAGTATTGTCAACCAGAGCACAACTGAACCGCTTGTTTGGAAGATGTATTATGACGACATTTTCTGCCATGTGTAGGGCACAGCCAAACAAATAATAGAAGAATTTGCAAGACGGGCAAACATGTACCACCATCCACGATCAAATTTACGGCGGAAAGGTCAGACTCGGAAATTATATTCTTTGACATAAGTCGTACTTGAGAAAGGTTTTCAACTTTTCTACGAAGAAAGACCACAGAAATGGGTAACCGCAGCCGGAAAGGAAAGCTATGTAGTTGAAGGAATATAGAGCCTCACTAGTGAGAGGTATATGTCGGTGTTTTGACAAAATGAGAACTGAAGTAGAACAGAAATTAGAGTGCATGTTTACTGCTCGGAGAAAAAGATATCATAATCATGGGTCCTGTTGCGGAGAGTTTCCATAATTTGCAAAAATATATCACATCAAATTCTGAGGGATACTACAAATTGAAGACCATCCATGTCGAAA